GTAACACATTTTGAGAGTTAATTGAGATCCCAGTTTTGTGCCATTTATTTTCATTTCATATTTTTTGCCTTTTTTTTCGAAATAAGACATTAACGAAGGGTAGTTCACTTGTGTAGAATGAATAATGTCTAAAATATTAGATTACTTTTCAAAGAACAGTCAACCCCTATAACACGGTAGATACTTTCCGTTCTTTATGAAATTGATGTTTTAAGAGTCCTTGAATACATGAGCCAATCACAGCCCTGCACGTACGCAGTTTACGGACTACGTCTGTTTGAAACGTTTTCTTTTATGAAGTTTACCGATTCTTGAGTAATTCGACTCAACATTTCCAAAATACGTATAAATTTTTGGGGATAATCCATATAAACTGTGCTATAAACAAAAAAAATGTAGGATTACTTACAGAGTGTGCACCGTTCGACAACGCTATTGCTTAAGCTTGTTTTCGTCGTGGAGCGGTGCACCAAATGGCGCTCGCGTGTTTCTTAATAAATTATTTTTCTGTGAAAACTTTGCTGAATTTTGGAGACATCATAAATATAAATATAATTTTTATGGACGTTAAATAAAAAATTGTTTTTAGTAGTTCTGCTGCTCCTTTAAACTCAACGATTTGTACTATATCCGCCATTGGTCTAGATTCGACCAATCCTGACGCGACACGAGTCGGCAATGACGTTTTATTGAATTATACAAGATTTTTTAGCGTGTTTGTACGAATACTGTCGCATTTTTTTGCCGTCATATATCAATAAGAATCCGAACTATATGAACCAGTTTTACAGAGAGGTCTACTGTATTTTGGGCGAGTAAAATCAAATTTTAGAAATCTGAGAGTAGAGTTAAACGTTTTGGTATTCAGACACATGGAGTTGTTGTCGTTTCTCGATCAAACCAATGAATGTATGCGACATGTATTTTCACTAAAACAAAAAATGCCAATTTACCTGACTTGTTTCTGTATGTGTGAAATCACGTTCGTAAAAATAAAATCGAATAAAGAAGTTGGTTTTCTTTGCCTTTTTGTAGTTGCTTCTTGAGTAGGTTTGGTTTCCTGCGCACACTCTCGCTTCACTGCTAAAGTCGGTTAGGACATTTACTTTAGAAATTTCAAATAACTAGTTTTAAATAAATAAAGTAATTGAATTTTTTTTCTTTTTCTTGTATACTTACTTTCAGTTTTCATTTCTGGAAAGTTTGAAGAGATAGTGAAATTTTCATCGTCACCATTTTCAAAAGTACACGAAAAATTACAAGTAAGTATTTTCATAAAATTGTTTCAAGTAGATTAGAAATTCGTTAATCTGAGGCCTGATTATGTAATATGTACCCTAATATTGCGCTCACACAGAATCAGCCTATAATCCCGAATCGTATTCACAATAATTTCGCAAACACGTATTATTTAATTCTCAATGAGTTAGCTATTGGAAAAAGGGTATTGAGATTGAGAAATGTCTGATTTTATAATTTGTTATTGCAAAATCAAGTCTCGTTACACGTTTTATGAACCTGTTTTTGTCTAATAATTTCGCATAGCTGTGATTCTGTAAGTGCCTGATAAATAAACGTTTATGACATTTAAGTATAAGTATGTGTGAGGACCCAAACGGGGTCCGAAAGCAGGCCATTAACGACTTTTTAAAAGAGTCAATTTTCGTAGTGCGAAAGAGCGAACTTAAAGATCGGATTTAAACAATGAACCTTTTGTCTTGTTAAAATATTTTAAACAATAGATAGAGTAAAGTCGAGGAAAACAAGAATGGAGAAGAGTCGTGTTCCGACGCGACGTTGAACTCTCCCGCGCCCTTCCTGGAGTTTCGAATTGTCACCATGTGACGAGGAGAGACCAATGGAGAGGCGACCGCGGTGGAAAAATTGATAAAACCGCGTTTTCGGGAACTTTACNTCCAGTCTTCGAGTTACAAAATTCTCTTGCAAATTTGTTATTAAAATATTAAAAATTATAACACTGTTGATAAATACAATTAGCTCCGGATCGTACAACTGAACGTGGCATAAGATATTTCGAATAATATACATAAACACCGAATATAAGGTGAGTAATTATTTAATTTGTCGTAGTTACATCGTCATGAATATGCATTTTAATGATAAGTTAAATGTAATTAATTTGTAAAGACTTTTAAACTATCAAATAAAGTAATTAAAATTTTATTTCCTTGTGTATTTTATAAGTAAAATTAAGTAAAGACTAATTAAACTTTCAAATATATCTGTAAAAATTCGTTCGAAATCATTAGGTTCTTATCAAATTTGAAAAGTGTTTTTCGTGTGTTGTAAAACACACGAATTTCGTGTGTTGTTTTCCGTGTGTTATTTTAAAATATTAAATGAAGCGAAGCTTAACTGCCCAAAAGCAAAAGCTTCCACTGAAAGTGTCCAAAATTCATTACAAAGGCAAAAGTTAGCTTATTGTCTTCAGAATGAAGAGATACATGCCAATAGGCTGACAAAATGTATACAGTACATAATATTTTCGCACATACAATTCTATTTAACAGCTCACCTATTCTAGGAGTAGGTTCATTGTTAATTTTATTCATGTTGTTTAACTTCCTACATAGTCTAGTTTTTCCCACATTTTTTTTAGCTAATGTGACTGGGACAGCGTACAGGGACGACGATGGTTTAATTATTCCGGATTGTAGTAATAGTTTCACCTGTCTATCAATTTCTTCTTTATTTAGGTAAAATTCTCTATAAGGTTTGAGAATGATAGGCCTTTTGTCTTTGCGTAATATTCTAGAAGAATCTATTTTCAGGGCCTGCACTGAGAACTTATCAGCAGAAAAAAACTTCCTTATATAATTAAATAATGCTCTTTAGCTTTTGCTTCTCTCCATTCTTCAGTTTATAGTTAACAACGTCCGTAATGTTAAAGATATTTATCAGAAATTCCTTTACAAAAGTAGAGTTATCCCAAACCCTACAATTTTCTGTTGCAATTGGAGTCAAAGAGGTGGAAAAACATAGATAGATGCATGAGGAGTCTTTCTCTGATCTATCTTATAACAGCTATAGGAACTACTTGAGGAACTAGAGTGATTTGATGTTAATTGAAAAATAATAGAATTTAGTTTTAAAATTGTCTAGTTTTGGAACATCTGATTAACCCTAGAATATATGAAAAAACTGAATTTTAATGTCTGAGTAAGATAAAATTAAATAAGGGATATACCTGAATACTATATATAAAGTAATGGTTTTTGTCAGGCTTTCAATCTTAATTAAGAAGGATTGATAATTTATCCTGCTAGTGGTATATCCTGCAGTTGTAGTAATACTCTTTATATCAGATTTGTATTAAAAATGCTTAAATAAAGAATCTGATAGTCCTTAGGTTATAAGGCTGATGGAATTTTCTGTATCAATGAGGGCAGGCATCGTTTCTTTCTTTAATTAAAAAGTTAGTAGTAGTCAGGATGGTGAAGTTGGTTCAGACTTGTTTGATTCAGATACCATGTGGACGTCCCTGTGAATAGGAGCTGAATATCTTCAGGGGACAGTCTTTTCTTTAGTACTGAGCAGGTAATCCATGTTGAAGGCAGAAACGGCAAAGCGATGGCAGTCTGCTCATGCGATGTACCAAATTTTTGTACTGTGGTTGACCATCTGTAGAATCCATAATAGAGTCATTTTCTTTCTGTGCGGCCTGGTTCTTGTAAAAGTATTGAGATCCTCTGAAATTTTCTTTATTTGGTTTAGTTGCTGGTAGATTTTTTGGGGGGGTTGTGAAGCTATTCGACATTAGTGGCTAGCAATGCAGCTATGATATATCTTTTGATTACTGCATTTATGCTTGCAGTGAGACTCATAATGGTCTGATACATGTTTAACTTTGCTGTTAATATCAAAATGTTTTATCTCTATAGTAAGTCAAAACATCTTAATATTGCAGGTGTTGTCGGTTTATAAACGCGGTTAAGTAATTTCTTTTGCAGAAAATATTCGAGTAGTTTTTGTTTAATTAATTTTGTTCCAATCTGTTTCCTCTACTGAATTCTTACAATAATATTCGAATGTTTTATGCGTTGAGAATTCTAGTATATAAAAGTGAAGCTCATCCTCATCAGTCCTTTTTCCTTTGTCCTTTGGTTTTCGAACAGGCTCATCCATGAAGTTAGGCTTGGATTTTTACGTGAGTTGAACGGTATAAAATTCATTTAAAAATGAAAGGTAATAGCAACTGTTTTGAAGGTAGATTTTTCTGTTGATTTGTTCATTACTGAATGAAGTTATCCTGTCGACTCTTTTAAATTCTCGTATTGTGTGCACTCATAGTCGAGTTTAAGAAGAGTAATGCCAATGAAAATTAGGGAGAATAAACACGTCCGTTCACTTCCGGTTCTTTATTCGAACTTTCTCTTTAGTGTTTTTAGTTGTTGCTAATCTTATTTCAAAAAATCGGGATCACCAAAGTAAATTACAGAAATATATATACAAAATTTACAAAAATTTAAAATCTATTATATATTATTGTAAACTCTTTCTCTTAGCATTTTATTTAAGTGGAATATTATTGTATTCCTTGTTGTCCTAGTTTATATTAAATTTAATTTTGGAGTTTGTTAAAGAACCTGGTTTGAATTATTTGCCTCTTTTCGGGTTACTCTGTCGCTTGACTATAATTTTCTTCTACCACTCAGATCTTGTTGTACAAACCTAATCTTTGCGCGAGTTATGATGAGTTAAAATATTTACAAAAAAGTTTTTATCGGATATAATTTCAGAAATGTTTTTCATCTGTTTTCTCTTTGTATAACTTCAGGATTAACAATTCACTGGCGACGATGACTTTATTTAGAAACTTTTTTAAGGAAATATACAATAGGACAACAGATGAAGGACACTTTTACAGTTATGTCCGATGAAAAAACATTTTTTCTGTGAATTTTTAAAACAACTGAATGATGTTTTATTTTCATTTTTTGTAGACAAAATAATATCATTCTATAAATTAAAATTAAAATATGAAAACCGACTGTGTGAAGAAACGATTATCCATCGTTTTTCGAAAATTAGGAAGATTAATCGGACTTCATCCTTACTACTTTATCATTTTTCCTATTTTGATATCAGCGACATTTTCAGCATTCATCTTCAATATAAACACTATCTCAAACACAAGCGAACTGGCATTTGCAGATTCAGGAAAAGTCTATAATACTAAGAAGTTCATCGACGAAACGTTTCCTTTCAATACATCAAAATTCCTTGATCCGACAAGTTTTACAGACGTACCAAAATGTGTGTTTGTTACATTTACAAAGAAAGATGGTGGAGACATGCTAGAAAAAGATGTGCTACTAGATATAAGTCTGGCGGATCAATTTATTAAGAATATAACAATTAATGATAAAGGAAGAAAAATTCGATATTCAGATATTTGTGGACGTGTAGGCGAAAAATGTTTTGAAAATCCGATTATCGAAATATTGCCCGAAATTGATAATATAGTGCAGAGAAAAAAGAAATTGAAGTAGCCGTTCGAAGTAGATCCGCTGACATACTCTTATCAAATTAATTCTTTCAACTTTGGGGGTGTAATCGAAGATGAGAACAATGTGATTCAAACAGTAAATGCCATTAGAATAAGCTATTTCACAGACGAAAGCGACAAGAAAAAACACAGTGTGATAGAAAGATGGCGAACTGAAGTTTATAATCGAATAAGAAATCATCAATTTAAACACGTTCTTTGTTTCATTGATTACTACTGGTCAATGGAACAACGAAATGTGCAATTAGCGGAAAATATCAAACCGATGATCGGTGCAGTAGTTGCATTTATTTCTGTTTTTACTATTGTCACGTGTATGAGCAACAATTGGGCAAAAAGCAAACCTTTTCTTGGTGTTGCAAGTGTCATTTCAGCTGGTCTGGCCGTGGTCACCTCTTTTGGATTCATGTCGGTTGTCGGTGTGCAGAATAGTATTTGGAACATTACCATTCCATTTTTAGTTCTCGGTAAGTTATTACTTACATTTTTATTGTCTGTTTTAGATTATGAATTGTTCAATTAATAAAAGTTTTTTGATGCAGTGACAGAGATCGATGATGCCTTCGTATTATGGGCATGTTGGAGAATATCAAACCCCAAGCATAAAGTACACAAACGCATGGAAGAAACATTGAGTGAAGCAGGAATTTCTATAACGTTAACATCGTTGACTAATCTGTTTTCTTATTGCATTGGAATGATGGCATCTTTCCCTCTTATAAGAATGTTTTGTTATTATTCGGCAACCAGCGTAGTGTTCACATTTTTGTATCAAATAACATTTTTTGCAGGTTGCATGGCATTATCAGGATACAAAGAAGAAAAACAGCAGCAAGCATTTCGTCTTAATTTCAGTGAGACCATTTAACTTTTTCAATTTGGATATAGATATATATAGGGTTCGTCATAATTTTTATGCCATATAAAATTGTACAGTACATAGAAGTATCAACACACTGTTGGTATAGCCTGAGATGTAATTAGTTGTGTATTGATTATATGAAGTATATTGTATATATTTTATAGTATATTGAATTCACACAGCAGAAAAATCGTACATGTCAGGTTCTTTACAGTATTTAGAACACAGTAGGTGCCGATAATTTAAAATAATTTAATATATTATTTAAGCATGACTTATTGTAAAGACGCTTTATTTCAAAACTAGCAGACCCCCGCCACGCGTTTTTGTGGCTCAAAATGTATCTATTATAAATGTATAACACTTCCATCGTGGGGGGAAAATTTTTCGAAAAATTTGTTCTTAGTGTACATTCTTTTGACGTACCCTATTAATACGCAATCAAAAACGCAAAATACCGCATCTAAAATAGTATAAATAGAAGCAGAGTTTTTTACGGTAAGCCTTAATCCTAACCATCTTATTTCAGTGGGGGGAATTTCTACACGTATATTATATAAAAACACGTGCGTATTCGAATGCAGCGTTGTGTCAAAATGTCAAAGAAATCGGTAGGAACAAACAAACATTACATTTTTATTTATATAGATAGATAGAAGATGTTCCGCTTTAGTTCATTTTCACAGAAAAGCATAATGCCTCGCAGAAAAGCAAACTTAGGGCACCGTACTCGTAGCGCCATCTGTTGGACATAAAAGCCTTAACCTAAATTATATTTTTTAATTTATATCAATGTTTAACAAAGTAATATACAACCTATGTCCACCCTGAGGTTCCATTCTAAATATTAGTGAAAGAATTTTTGAAATTGGATGAGTAATTTCGGAGATTACCTGCTGGAAACAAACTTACATACTTACAAACTTTACCTATTTATAATATTAGTATAGATTAGTTTCAATTATTATTTTAGAGTTAAGATTTGAATCTATGTATTATATGTTGTTGCAGTGGTTTTTGATGTAGCTTACAATTCAGGCTATCTTTTATTTTTAGGAACTTGTAGCATAAAATTTTCATGCCAACATTAAACGCAGAAGCACCTGTTACGTACGATTCTGAATCTGATCATTCATTTTTAAATTTTTTTTCTTTTTGCTCATGTTTTTTTCTTACTTTCCTCACATTCCCCTTTTTTGTTGTTACTATATTTTAACAAAAAACGACAGCCTTCCATTAAAATAAAATGAAAGGTATAGTAAAAAATATTATAAATAAAAAATGATTATTTTAAATTCTCATACTTTTTATGTGATTTTATAAAATGTATAAACACTTTCATTTCGATATTTTAATCGTGCCTCTTTTTTCCATTTATTTTGCATATAATTAATATTATATTAAATAATTAAAAAATTAAGTAGGCCTATATGATTAACTATGATTTTTCGAATAGAAATCTTGTATGAATATTCTAAATTGTTAATTAATTAATATTATTTACAGGAGATATCGAATATTCTTCAACAGAAGAAGAAACCTCAACTGATGTGCCAACAATGGCATATTTCAGAGACAAGTTGGGAAAAATTCTATCTATGAATGTAATGAAGTTAACGGTTATCATCGTTTACTTTCTGAATTTATCATTTGGAATATGGGGAGCTTTAACTATAAAACACGGTATAGATTTTACTAAGTTATATCCACATAAATCAATGATAACACAGGGTATTAAAATATATTATAATAGTTTTGGCCGTTATACGTTTCCTTACCATATAGTAATTAATAGAACACTTGATTATTCAGATTTAAATGTACAAAAATCCGTAGACGAACTACTCAACAAATTCGAAAGTCTTCCATACATTGCAGATTCTCGATTTACAGTATCGTGGTTGAGATATTATAAAGAATTCCAAAATCACCCGTTAGCAAAGTATTCATTACGAGGATACAACATGTCGGTTAAACAAGATTTCTTGGATGGACTTCGCAATGTTTTCCTGAAATTTAAATCAGCAGAACAATTCACAGACGATATCGCTTTCAATTCTGATGGATCCGATATTTTAAGTAGCAGATTTCATATCTTTGTGAATGATACGTTAAGTTCAGCAGCTGAAATGGAAATGTTAAAAACTCTGTGGAAAATTGCTGACGAATTCGAATTTCCTGTTCTTGTTCATGCACTAGTCGCACCTCAGTACGAACAAGGAATTATAATTGGACGTACAATTCAGGATTTAATTTGGATCACTTCACTTTTGGTCATGATTCTTTTTATAGTTTTCATACCAAACATCGTCGTTGCAGTTCTCGTTGCAATATCGGTAACATCCACCATTGTAGAAAC